TAAACAAGCTGGTAGGGTTGTTAATTGGGTTTTTGATTTTTCTGCCACACAGTACATACTCTTCTGCATTGCCAGCATTTCTGCAATGATCTGTCTCTGTCTACTGTAATTCATCCTGTATGCTGTGGCCCAAGCTAGTATTAATCAAATTAAGCTCTAATCGTTTCATTTTTTCCCTAACTGCTGCATTATTCCCTACTTCCACACCTCACCCTTGACCCAGTCAGATCCACTGCTGTTGATTGAATAGGCCTGTGCTTTCCCATTGCTGCTGGTTGTCCACGTTTGTCTCTCTGCTGTCTCAGTGCCCTTTATCTTGCTGACTTTCCAATGCTTTCTGGTAGAAATCCTGGATTTACAGACTTTCACTAATCCCACAACGAAACAGTTTTACTGTATTTAAGCAAAGTATACAATGCTTCAAAATATTTTTTCTAAGTTATTTAAAGTAATTTGATATTACTGAAAAAAGAAAATGTGTGTTTTCCCTTTGGTCTTAATTCCATGGAATGTAGGGGAAGGAACCCTGGTGGTACAGTGGTTAAGCGCTTGGCTGCTAATTGAAAGGTTGGCAGTTTGAACCAGCAGCTCCTCCATGGGAGAAAGATGTGGCAGTCTGCTTTTGTAAAGATTTACAGCCTTGGAGACCCTATGGGGCAGTTCTACTCTGTCCTGTAGGGTCTCTCTGAGTCACAATTCACTTGATAGCAATGGGTGTTTGGTTTTTGGTTTAGCCACTTGGGAGAGGTAGATTGAATTGAATCACTAAAGTTCAATGCCAGAAGGTGGCACACTTTTCCCACTTAACTGCACATACTTGTTTTGAAGATTCCCAGGTATAAACAAGAAGCAAAAAACTTAGTTATGCCAATTTTCTGTAGAGGTTTGAAGCTTTTTGCAATGTATACTCTGAGGAAATTGCTGCTAAAATGTATTAAAGATCTAATGGTGAAGTCAATTTCTTAAGACAAATGGTGTTTGAGGAGACATTTCAACCTAGCTCAGCTGTAATTGTGTAGGAATGGAGTCTAATTCATACAGGAATGTCTCTGACTATTTCCTTATTACATAGGTTCACATGAAACAGAGAAACTGACCCAAGGAATGCCTGAATTTAAGCCTCTTATGTTTATATGTTTCCTAATTTGTATTACATTTTATATAGTGTGGAATGGATTAACACCACCAATGATTTCCAATCATGCAAATGGAAAGGAAAATACTTCATTTCTTATATATATATATATGTACGTGTGTGTGTGTGTGTGAATAAGGAAGACCGAATAAGAACTGATGCCTTGAATTATGGTGTTGGTGAAGAATATTGAATATACCATGGACTTCCAGAAGAATGAACAAATCTGTCTTGGAAGAAGTACAGCCAGAATGCTCTTTAGAAGTGAGGATGGTGAGACGTTATCCCAGTTACTTTGGATATGTTATCAGGAGGGACAAGCCCTGGAAAAGGACATCATGCTTGGTAAAGTAGAGGGTTAGTGATAAAGAAGGAGCCCCTCAGAGATGGATTGACACAGTGACTGCAACAATGGGCTCAAACATAGCAACAATTGTGAGGATGGTGCAGCACCAGGCAGCGTTTTGTTCTGTTGTACATAGGGTCGCTATGAGTTGGCACTGACTCGACAGCATCTAACAACATTTTATACACACACACACACATATATATATCCACAGGAAGAGAGAAAAATAAGTGAGGGTGGGAGATAGATATAGAGAGACATAGAACAAAAAATGCTAAGTGTTGAGGAAAAGAGGTGGGTTAAGTTAAGAGGAACAAGAAGGCTGGCCCTGGAAACTCCATTCCTGAGATGTGGGCAAGGAGGACTGAGGGGGTGGATCAGAGGGTCCTCTACCAGGTTCTATTGTGATCTGGTACAAAGTTACTTTGGATGATCCTGTGTACTGGGGAGGAGGTTGGAGAGTTTCCCTGTAGTGGTGGTACCCACTCCCTTTCTACCAGCAAACAGGTGCTTTCTCCTTAGTCATATTACCTTTTATAATCTGCAGAGAAAGATCTGGGTTCATACTCTCTCTAAACCATAGTTCTTTATTAACCTTCAATTGCTCTTATGATGGAATATCAGCAGAGGGAATGTCCTCTGTGAGGACATTCTAGTCAAAGGGAAGAACAGCTAGTACAAGGGTGTGGTGACATCAGATATCATTCGTTAAGTGATTATCTTAAACTCCCATAGTGGCACATTTATTGACCATCTTTTATGTGCCTAGCCCTACAATTAAGATATGTAAGTAGATGCTACACAAAGGCAAGTTTTGGCCTGATAAAACACTGAGTGCGTACCAAGTGGCATATTCAAAAGTAGCTCATGTTTTCTTTGTCACAACAGAGTTGGTGGTGTTATCTCCATTATAGATTAGAAAACAGGTTTAGAGGGGAGTCTGATTCAGACTCGGGTCTCTCTCCAAAGCCCATACTCACATCACTGTACCAGGCTGCCTCAGGGTTCAAAGATATGCCTCGAGGCATTTAAGTCTGTGCTATCATACATGGTAATAAAACTCAGGGAAAAGGATTAAACTGGTCCTTTCACTTCTGTTTTCTCATTTTGGCATAATTTTCTGACACAGCATCTTAACCAATATTTTTGTTACTGCAATAATGTGGATTGGAGCCGCCTGCCGCAATAGCCAATTCTGAGACGGGTGAGGTGAGCAGCAAGAGTTTTATTATATATCGATATATAGGAGACAGAGGGAAATAGATTCCTCCAAAAAACCCATCTCCCCCACTGGAGACTGGCTGAAGGCTTTTATAGGGACAGGATTATGGGTCTTAGAAGTTTGCGTTAGTTCCCCCTTGAGGTGGTCACATCCCAGATGAGTTAATCTTGGGGGGGGTTATCAGGCGACATCCTGGTTTTCTTGTCCCAAGACGGGTGCTTTGTTCGGTTTGTCATTCCTAGCTCTTTATCACTTGTTTTCCCCCCTCCAAGGAGGAACGTAGGTTAATCTCAAACCTTTTGTAGAGACTGGAACCGGAGGGAAAACCAAGGTCATGAGACAATGGGGCGGTCAGCGACGGGGAGGAATCATAGTGAGCAGGGCCCATGCAGCCTCGTCCATTTAAAATATAAACATCTAAACTTTAAGATATGATTTTTATTGAACATGTATAAGATTCACCTTTACATTATTACAAACACTTTACATTAAAAAATTAGTTTTTGTAAAAAAAAAAAAAATTTCCTGGATTTATCATTTTACAGTTGAAACAAAGAAATATATAAATATGAAGGTCATTCTCCAAGTATTAGAACAGAATACTAATGGAATCACTTCAATAAAAATTTTTCAAAAACATTTGCATGATTACCCACACTTTGTATCAACCTCCAGAGGATCAAATAAATGCAGAAAAGGAAGGTGATCCCCCAAATAAGATTTATTTCCAAAAAATAAACTGAATATACTCTAAATGTCTTTCCCTGGGTGGGATTTGGTCAATAAGTACCAGCCAGATAATTTTCTGTTATATCACACAATAAACAGTTGTAAATGCAGAATACATTGTTCATGTAAATTAAAAATTTTGCCAGCTTTGTCATATGGGGAGTAGTAGCTAGACACCACCCACATGACCATTTAAAATATACTGTATATATTATGATGAAAAGTCACATATATAAGGATACAAGGCCTTTACTTCCAGAGCAGTCTTTAAAAAAAAAGCTTTGTATAGGCATTATTTCATCCCTTATTCATATTTTAGACTTTATATTCTAAAATGTCTCAGCTATTAAAATTATGCATAGTACCTAAGCCAACATATGAGCAGTTGCAAAACACAATTTCAACTACAGTACTTGATTATACTCACAAGACGTACCTCTAAGAGTTCAGTCTATGACCGAACAATTTCTGAATTGCCTAAGTTAAAGACCAGTAAAGAAAATAAAACGTGTCCCAGTCATGTGAGCCCAGGCTGTCTCTCAGAGCATTGTATACATACTAGACACCTAACACTTGAGAGTACTTCAATGCAGTATTTAATGATACTGTCAGCATGAGCTCACAAAGTGGTCTAGTAGGCATGGGAATCTGAAAGTCTAAAATTACTTCTGGATATTTTAATAAAGACTCATTGCTGCCTGAATTTGAACAGGTTTTGACTGAAGGCTAGTTGGAGATTTTTTTTTTCCTTCTAGCAACAAATGTGCTAAATGAAGGGCCTCTATGGCTCAGTTTTTTGGCAAGAAAACATACAAAAGAACCTACTTTGGATATGATTTCTAATAGTATTCTGCTGAAATAGGATGGTTGACTTTCTTTATCAAGAGATTTTCAGATCATAAATAATGATCCACATTAGCTGTTTGCATCCAGAAGCCTTCAGAATCACCACAAAGGGGAGTCCCTGTCACAGTGTAAGCTGATGATGGCCCAGTGCTTTCTCTGCTTTTGCTGCTCTTCACATCCTCTCTGTTCTCAGTCACCAGCTCAAGTCACAGGAAGTAACTCTCCTAACCGGCCTTAGCATTTCCCCAAACGTGGTATTTAAGACTCTTCCTTGTCTGATCATAAATACACAGCTTTAAAATACCATTAGTCTTTTTCTCTATAATAGAATTAGGAAAAATATTATACATTCGGAAATTCTCCAAGTCTAGGTGATTTGAAATTTTAATATTTACAATTTTTCAAATCCCAATTTTCTAAACTCAAAATTTAGTAAGGCAGATACTGACGCAACCTTTATCACAAATATTTCCATAATGAAATCTGACTGCCAAGTATGCTGATGGAATACAAAACAGAATAAATGACTCCACAGGCTTCCACTGGCTACAGCGGACATAGCCATTAGTCCTTTTTTCTTTCTAATTGATGTTTCTATTTATTAAAATATTACACTTATGTTTACTACCACATGAATCAAGATGTATCTGGTGGCTGCTAAAATGATTTTTAAAAGCATGATCTTTACGCCTTTCAAAATCTCTCCACATTTTGTTTTAAAAAAATAATTCTGTATCATTCTAAATACTGACAGCCAGTCTTGCATGAAGGTGTGGGGCTAAGGGCAGCCAAGAATGAGTAAGACTAGGGCCCTGCTCTGATCACAGCACCTTTTATGTGTCTGATGAATGGCCTCACTGAACCTTATAATCTACTTTCAATTATCATTTTTAAACTGCAAAATCATTTGCAGAAGTGCCAATAAAAATACACTGTAGAAATAATATTTGGAAAATAGAAAAATACGTTTAAAAAAAGTAAATCTCTAAACAGTATTTTCATATCTCTATTATAAACTTTATCTTAATTTTTCCATAATATATAATGAATGGATGACTCCACTGGTTTATCCACAAACAGCAAGTCTTTACCATTTAACAGTTCTCTTGGTTAAACTAAAATCTTCAGCTCAGGGTTTTTTTTTTTCCTTCAAAACAAATCTTTAAAGAATAAAACTATAATGACTCAGAAAACCCTTTCAACATTCAAAATATTTTAAAATAGGGTGTTGCCTTTTTTAAAATCTCACAATCTATTTGTAAAAATCATATTGGATTAATGTGGAATACTCAATCCTCAAAACATTAAAAAAAAAACCAAAAACAAAAAAACCCTAATGTGCTACTCAAGTTTTTTCAAGGCTCTAGCTTTGAATATTAAAACAATATTTTCTTAAAAATAATTTCTCCCTTATCTTGCCAACATGAAAATATGTAGACCAAAGTAATTCTAATTTTACATATTACATTTCTCGGACAGGGTTTTGAGAGTAAGGACTAAGTATTACTGGTTATACACAATCTGTTTTGATTCAGTGACTCAGTGATTCCAAGAAACTCGAAATCTTTGACATGGAAACCATCACGTAGGAATAGAAAAACTCTAAGGTTTGTCTGCTGAACTGTAAGCTGGATCTAGACCAGACATTTTTATTTTAAAAACTTTGTTATATGGTATATTCTTGCCTCAACACAACTAAGTTCTGATATAGTAGGAAGAAAACATAGTATCTGATCATAGGGGGCTAAAACAGAAAACCACAGGTGGGTGTTGGTGATGCCAAGCAGCTGTCCTGTCTTCTATCCACTGGCCCCACAAAATGATTTTCAGTTTCAGATACTCTGAATTTACATAGGAAAGGCTGCTCTGAAGACAAGTTTCTCCTGTTCTAAATTTTGATTCCTGAAATCAGCAGATCTTATTATTCCATGAGTTCAACTCTTATGTTAGGGTGCCTATGGTTGCCTAACATATTAAATATTAAGCTTATTTTGAATCTCTTATATGGTGCTAGTGGGGGTTCTGCAGCTCATCTAACTATAAGTAACAATACATATTGCATAATAATGGCGTGACATCCATTCACATACCTTAGACTTAAATACACTTTATGACTTGTTATTAAGCATTTTACATGTTTAACTTTTAGTATAACATTTCCCCAAAGCATGAACACCTACATATCAATTCATATCAATTATCACATCAAAAAAAGTTAAATTTAGTACGATACTGTAGTGAGTACAGGAAGATTTCCTTAACAGGAATTGTAACTATTTGTCAGAATTTATAGGGTTTAAATTTTATGCACTTACTTTCAATCATAAAATATTTTTTTTAAAAAAACATGTAATTAGAGCCCAAATCTGTTGAGCACCTCTATGACAGATATTATACTTCAGTACGAAAATTATACTCAGATGTACAGTGCTCTTTTCCCCACCGGGATGTTTTGCAAGAAAAAGTCGGCTCTTCATTATCATGTGTAGTGCCCAACAGAAGCTGATACTTTTAAGGCACACACCGTGCACACTGCGTTGATTCTACCCTTCAGGTGTGCCCTTTCGGTGGGTGGCAAAGATTTGGTGGTGGGCACTTTCATAGAAGAAATTAGCGTTGGCTTTCTTTTGATAGATGAACACATTTCATTTCTTAAAAGGTTCACTTTCTAAGTGCTTGAATAAAGTGCCTTGACAGCTCAATTGCCCACATCTTCAATCCACAGGGAAGCTTCAGTTCACCAGCTTGACTTTTAGCGTTTGATCACAACTTGTTCATAAGCTCCAGACCCCACCCTAAAACGGGGGGTGGGGGGTGGGAGGGAGAAGAAACTTTTTAAAAGTTTGAGCTGTGGTGTTTGAAATTGTTCTAAGTAACCTTGCCCCAGAGATGGTACTGCAGGTGTTTTTCTACTGTATTTGATTTCCACAGGGTTTAAAGGTATCAAAGACAGAAAATGCCTGAAATATTAAATGTTAATATCTTAAATTTCCCAAATCTTGGTATAGTCTCTGAGCCTCTCATACTTATTCCCACAGTAATCTAGTAATGCTTCCCAATTCCTAACCTGACAGTCAACACACTACTTCAAGAAATACCTTCTTCACACATGTTTACATTAAGTCCTCAAATCAGTCCCATCCATGAGCATATGTTGACTCACAGTGTATCTGGGCTTGCACGGTGGTCTTTAGTTGCAATAGTAGTGTTGAGCCTTAATGTACCTTCTTGGAAAGTTCAAGAATTCTTTTGTCAATATGCAAATATCATTATATGGAGTCAGTACTGCAAATTATACCTATGTAATGTAGAGCCAAAGATCCTTGTGTGGCGCAAACAGTTTGCACTCAACTGCTAACCTACAAGTTGGCAGCTCGAACCTACCCAGTGGTACTGTGGAAGAAAGACCTGGCAATCTGTTTCTGTAAAGATTACAGCCAAGAAAACCCTATGAGGCAGTTCTACTCTGTAACACATGGGTCGCCATGAGTTGAAATCAACTTGGTGGCAATGAGTTTGATGTTTTTTGGTTTTAATGTGGATTTAAAGGGATAATGATCTTGAAGAGGGAGCTTATTTCTTCAGTAGCATGGTGTGGCAGACTACTGCTGGTTGTCCCCCAAATCTATTCTCTTCTTCTTCATAGTTTTAGCTGGGAATGGGGTTGCTCAGCTACAGACCACATTTCCCAAACTCCCTGGTAGATAGTTGGGGCCATGTGACTAAGTTTCCCCCCACGGAATGTGAGTAGAAGAGATGTGTCCAACTTCTGCCTCACTTATTTCAAGGGAAATTGCCTGCCCTGGACTTCCACCCTTTCCTATGAGCTGTACTGTAGATGTGGCAACAATCCAACTTGACAACGCAGGTAAGGAAGATGGTGAAGTAACAAAACGGTACCTGGGTCAGTGAATCATCTTCTGGGGTAAAGCTGTCCCATCAGCCTGATCACTGTAGTCCTGTGGCCTTTGTTATAGCAACTTAGTCTTTAATATGCCAGGTATCAATTAACCTCTATTAGTAAAATTATGGAGACTACTAAAAGACTTAAAATTTGCAAATTTGTGAATAAGGTACTCAGGGAAAGATTACTTAAGATACACTTAGTACCACTTGGTCCTATGTTATAATGAAATGAACATGAATGTTCCCTCTATAGTTTCTTGGTCTGGGCAGGATAAAGATTTTCTACTACCTGTAAAAACATGGTGTTTTTTCAGTGGAAGCTGGCTTTTTATTTTTGGATGAGGACCATTCTACCCATGAGGCACTGTGTGTCAACCTCACATACTAGATCATGAGCTAGCTGACGGGAAGAGCTGACTCTTTTCTCTTTGTATCCTTACCCTCAAGTTGGCACAATAAATAGTTATTGAATTTAATGAGTAGATAAGTCAGTGAAAGTTAATGGAGGCCTAAATTGTTACATCTTCTATAAATACTTCCTTAAATTCAGTACTCCCTCATAGCATCTTTATGTGTCTCTCTTTTACCTCCCTATCACACCCTATTTTATTTAGTTGTTGATGTAGGTCTTTGTTGTTACATTCCTTCATATCCCTTGGGCGCTGTCACGTGCTGGACCCATACGAGCTACTCAGTAAAATGAGTGTTGGTAGAAGAAATGAATTAAAAATTCTTTTAGGTTTCGAACCTGAAACAATAAAATAATTGTCTTGGTCCAAGGGGCTCCTTCCCTGTGCAGCTCTGACTTACTCTAGCTGTGCTGGAACTCTGCATAAACATTACACGGACATACTGAGTATGAGGGACGCATAGAAGGGCAGGGCCAGGCTGGGGAGGTGGGGGAGTGACCAGAATCCCTAAATGCCCTTGGCATCTGTGTTCACTATGTGCTGCAGTACTGGGAATCAGAGTGGTAACTGGCAGGTGACTTTCATCTGAGTCTGAATAAATAAAATGATGCTTGGTTTGCATCATTTTTCTTTGTAGATATGTGAGGTTCTAGCGAGGTGGAGAAAAGGAGAGTACATGAAAGGGTAACGTCAGCTTACGCTACTGAGTGGCTGGGTAACTGCACATAAAAGGTAAGACACTGACTGACAGTGGAATTGTACTTTGCTTTTTTTTAACTGGGAATGATTAAAAAAAAATTTTTTTTAAATTGTGCTTTGGGTGAAAGTTTACAGAGGCTTTGCTCTTTCTAAAACATCAGACTGGGAACTAGTTTGTAAACATTCTTTTTATATTGCATCTTGCCCTGTGCGCTGCTGGTCCTTTACCAATATAGTCTAAAAATACATCTAAGAAGTTAACAAATTAACCTGTAAAATAATTTCATATACCCAGAAAAAGGAAAACTAAGAGCTACGCATCTTATTAACTACCCACACTTGTTTTCTAGCCTCCGTATAAAGACTTTGCAACCTTCATGCTCATAAACATTTTAAAAGAAGTTAGTTTAGTTTTTATGTTGATAAGGTACTACTTGGACTACATACCTGTTTGGGAGATGATGACTGCCAAAGGCTGTACTTCCCCCAGGACCCACAAATAACCTCAGTCCTTCTTCTGCAATACATAGTTAAAATGTTGGTTATCTGCATAGCGTATTTGTCCAAAAATATTCATAATAATTCACATTTGCCATTTGTTTTATTAAAAAAGTTAAAAACTTAAAAAAATCAAATTACATGCGTGTTTTAAAACAGGTACTTGATAACTTTATAAGATATTCTAATAGTTATTTCTCATCAACTTTCCTAAAGCTCTTTTTCTTCTAACAGTAATGAAGGCAGCTCTTCCTACAAACCTCTACAAGCAACTTTTAATTATCTCTCTTTACAGTTACATAATGAAACCAAGCCCATTGTTCAGTGCTCTCTAGTCATGCCAGCATGAGTAATTATACCTTTCAAATTGGTAGCATGTAAATTTTCAGTTTCAGTGAGAATGCTGAGGAAGGAACCATGGATTCTGTTATTCACTATCATTTCAAGGGCACCACCCAACACTCCAAATTACTTCAGTGACTTGAAGCACTATGGCCAGTTATGACAGAAGCAGACACAGATATCTATCATTAGGTATATAAACATGGTAAGGCTGATACATAATTAAAAAATACAAGAAATAATGCTTTCTTTAAAATTGATCTTTTAGCTAAAGTTTTTTTGTTTTTTGTTTTTTTTTTAAACCAAATTCAATATCCATTCTTAGAAAGAAATGAACTACAAAGTTATCTTGAGATTGTTAGGGCATGAAATTTATCTTACAAATATGCAGCAGGCAGTATCATGATGCACTGCCTCTTGGCTGCTGACCACATGGACTACACAGAGTGGACTATGTACATCTACACCAAACAGTTGTCTACACACCTTCTGTGCTGGAATCTAGGCTGAAGTCTTGACTCTGTAGTATCTTCTCCACAATGTCATCTGCATCCACTCTGGTGGCATCGACTCGCTTCAGTTGAGATTCCACAGAATCTTGTTTCACTGGGTATCTTTGAAAATAAAGAATTAAAAAATTTTCCCTTCTTTTTATTAATTATGTTATGAAAACAAAGTTATTGCTTTTTTTTTTAAAGCCCAAAAGGATACCTGTTGAGTTTTTCTGATGCTGTATCTTCTTTATCGGTTGCATCAAGATTTGGGTCAGCTATTTTTTGCTCAATTTCATCACATGGCTCTAGAATGCTTTCAATTCCTGTTGATGTACTTCCCACGGAGGTATTTCTTCTGTGGCAGAGCTCAGAGAAACTGGATGACCGGGAGTGACATGAGCTATAGCCTGTCAGAGAAAATCACTTTGGTTTTAATGTTAATATCAAACACTGACCGCAATCTAATATTCTTCTTCCACACCACAGCAGCTTCAAGTGACTTTATAATGACAGATGTCTAAGGAGTTCAACTTCATTGTTATTGCCTACCTGATACTTTTGATTGCTGGCTTGCATAGCTTGAGGTTCTGGAATGTCCACAGGCACCAAGTTCATCTGGAACAGAGGCACTCTTTGCTGAAAGATCTGCAGTACGTCACAACATGATGTTACTATTACTGCCAACAAGTCAATGTTCATTTATATTCTAATTTACAGATTTTATAACATTTTCCATGTTCATTATCAAGAAAAAGTAAGTTGTGAAGTGACAGAGATCCTTTAAATCAATAGACTAGAAACAACTATGTTGCAAGAAATATAAAGTACTTTATTAAATACCTTAGTTTACTGAAGAACCGGAGCATTTTTCGTAAGATTTAACAGCACTCTATTTTTTTTCCAGTTTTTTTTATTGTTGTAGTTTAAATGAAGTTGACATTTCAAGTTAGCCTCCCATACAAAAATTTATATATATATGGTTAAGTGACCCTAATTGCTCTCCCCTTACTGTGACAGCACACTCCTCCTTTCCACCTGATTCCCCATGTCCATTCAACCAACTCCTAACCCTCTCTGCTTTCCCATCTCACCTCCAGACAGAAGCTGCCCGTTTAGTCTCTTGTATCTACTTGAGCTAAGAGGCACACTCCTCACGAGTATCACTTTATGTCCCACAGACCAGTCCAATCTTTGTCTGAAGAGTTGGCTAATTTAATAGCACTCTACCTTGAATAACATAAAACTATCTCAATTCTTTTTTCAGTATTTCTCTAATACAAATCGGTCAGGTGTACTCTTATAAATTCTCACAAAATTGCCAGGTTTTAGTATGGCTTGTGAGGAAATCTTGCTTCCTCAAAAATCCAACACAGCAGTAAGCTGAAGAGTACTCTACTTCTTTAACGTTAGGGTTGCTAGTACTAGGCTATAATTTGGGCAATGTTTGTGGCTTAAAGCAACGCAGCGTGGAATGTGGCACTGAGAATAAAAATTCTTAAGAAACTGATTATAGTACTCGGTTTCAAAGTAAATGTACAAAAAGGAGGTGTCAAAGCCATACACTATTTCTACTGATAATGTGCATATATTAGATGTTAATTTTGTATTTTCAGAACCAGGCTTCTTCCAAAGAATGTAGAACTGTGACCATTTTCATTAGGCTGAAATTTTAGAAACAAGAACTGTCGTGAATTTAGGGGCAGGAAGAAACCAGTTGAGTAATACAACAATTATCGCGGCAGTTCTACAAATGATATTGAACACAACTGACCCCACAGATGCTGCCAAGCAAGTAAGCAACTGGAGTGAGCTGTCCCTTCTAAAAGGATTTCTCATTTCCGGACATATTGTAAGAAACGGTCCAAACCAACATCCCTGTGTCATGTTCTACAGTGGTCCCAACCCAAAGGTTAGCTCAAAGAAAATCTGAACTCAAAAAGTTGGTTCATATCAAGAATTATATAGAACTAACATTAAGGAAATTCCAGCCAGATTCAGAAGAGGAATGAGGAACGAGGGATATCATTGCTGTTGTCAGATGGATCTTGGCTGAAATCAGACAATACCAGGAAGATCTTACTTGTGTTTTATTGACTATGCAAAAGCATTCGGCTGTGTAGATCATAACAAATTATGGATAACATTGCAAAGAATGGTAATTCCAGAACACTTAATTGTGCTCATGAGGAACCTGTACCTAGACCAGGAGGGAGTCATTCGAACAGAACAGGGAGATACTGCATAGTTTAAAATAAGGAAAGGTGTGTGTCATGATTGTATACTTTTGCCAAACTTATTCCATCTGTATGCTGAGCAAATAATCCAAGAAGCTGGACTATATGAAGAACACAGCATTAGGATTAGAGGAAAACTCATTAACAACCTGCGATATGCAAATGGCACAACCTTGCTTGTGGAAAGCAAAGAGGACTTGAGTTGATTCCGACGCATAATGACCCTATAGGACAGAGTATAACTGCCCCATATGGTTTCCAAGGCGCGGCTGGTGGATTCGAACTTGAAGCACTTAATGACGAAGATCAAAGACTACAGCCTTCAATATTGATTACACCTCAAAGTAAAGAAAACAAAAATCCTCACAACTGGACCAATAAGCAGCATCATGATAAATGGAGAAAATACTGACTGAAGTTGTCAAGGATTTCATTTCACTTGGATCCACAATCAACGCCCATGGAAGTAGCAGTCAAGAAATCAAACAACGTACTGCACTGGGCAAATCTGCTGCAAAAGACTTCAAAGTGTTAAAAAGCAAAGATGTCACTTTGAGGACTAAGGTGTGCCTGACCCAAGCCATGGTATTCTCAATCACCTTATATGCATGTGAAAGCTGGACAATGAATAAGGAAGACCGAAAAAGGATTGATGCCTTTGAATTATGGTGTTGGTGAAGAATACTGAATATACCATGGACTGCCAGAAGAATGAACAAATCTGTCTTGGAAAAGTACAGCCAGAATGCTCCTTAGAGGTGAGGATGGTGAGATCTTGTCTCACATACTTTGGACATGTTATCAAGTGGGACTAGTCCCTGGAGAAGGACATCATGCTTGGCAAGGTAGAGGGTCAGCGACAAAGAGGGAGACCCTCAACTAGACGGACTGACACACTGGCTGCAACAACAGGATCAAACACAGCAATGATTGTGAGGATGGCGCAGGACCAGGCAGTGTTTCGTTTCTGTTGTACACATGGTTGCTATGAGTTGGAACTGACTCAACAGCACCTGACAACAACAACAACTTTAAGAAGCTTTGGTGGCACAACAGTTAAGCCATTGTCTGCTAACTGAAAGGTTGGAGGTTTGAACCCACCAGCCCTGGAAAGACTTGGTGATCTGCTTCCATAAAGATTACAGCCAAGAAAATCCTAACGGGAAGTTCTACTCTGTCATGAGTCAAAAATTGACTTGATGGCACCCAGCAACAATAACAACTTTACTCCTAGGGTTGGCTCAGATTTTAACTTATCCATTTATTTACTGGTTTTCAAAATTTATTCACTCAGTATTTATTAAGCTTTTACTAAGTCATGTGCCTAGTACTGTATAAAATATAAAAAAACCAACCAGTTGCCATCAATTCAATTCTGACTAATGGCAACCCATTGTGTGTCAGAGTAGAATTGTGCTCTGTAGGGTTTTCAATGGCTGTGATCTTTCAGAAGTAGATTGCCAGGCTTTTCTTCTGAGGTGCCTCTGGGTGAATTCAAACCACCAATCTTTCAGTTAGTAGCCGAGCGCTTAACTCTGCGCCACCTAGGGATGACCATATAAAATATAGGGGGTACAAAAATAACTAAGAAAAATTTATGCTCAGAGTTTAGAGGCAGAAGCAAATAGTTACAATGTGGCAAGTACTAAAATACAAGAACTAAAAAGAAGCTATCAGGAGTTCAGAGGGACAGTGCATCTATCACTCCCTGGTAATGGGGAAAAGACCTCATAGAGAGGCTAACCTCAGGACATAAATGATGTGTAGGAATTCCTCAGGTAGATGAGGCGGGGAAAGGCAGAGGGACGAACATGCCTTTTTTGTGGAAATGCAGACAGATTGGTAAAGTTGGCATACAGGGTAGTAGTGCAGATGACTGAAGGGAAAATATGTCTGCTACTGATGGACTTTTATGCTATGCTAAACAATTTAAAGAAGGAAATAATGCAATAGCTTTAAGCAAGTGTGTGACATGACCAGATCTACATTTTGGGAAGACAACTCCGCCAAAAGGATGACTAGGGTTAATGGAGTGAAGGTTTTCCTAATAGTCCAGCTGACAGTAGGAGCTGTTTGTTGTTATTAGGTACCCTCAAGCAACAGAGTAGAACTGCCCCGTAGGGTTTTCTAGGTTGCAGTCTTTTACAGGAGCAGATTGCCAGGTCTTTCTCCTGAGGAGCTGCTGGGTGAGTCTGAGCCTTTCAGTTAGCAGCTGAGCACTTAACCACTGCACCACCAGAGGGCTCCTGGAGAGATGTCTAGGAGGCACAAATGCCAGGACCCAATTACTAAGTAGAAGTGTGTGTCAAGGTAAGGTTTCCAGCTTGGGGATCTGGGTGGATGGTAACATCATCAGCTGAGATAGAAAACACAGGAGGAAGACTTGTGCTAGATATGTGGAATTTGAGACAGCTGAAGATGCCCATTCACAAAACATTCACTGACTGTCTACTGGCATTGAACATGACCCACAAAGACAAAAAAGGCCTGATCATGAAGAACTTGAAGTCTAGCTGAGGAGAAAGATAAAATGACGAATTTCAGTATAAGATGTGGCATGAAGTGGATCTTCCCAGAAAGCATTTGGAAATATGTACCTAGAGTTCAGGAGTGAGGCCTGAAGGTGACACAAATTTGTGAATTAAAAGTATTTAACTCATATTTACATGATCACATTTAGATTTATGTGATCATTAAATCCAAGGATGTAGATGACGTTGCCCAGGGAGAGTAAGTAGAGGGGACCAAATCCTATGGAACATCAATATGTAAGAGGAAGGTGGAAGAAGAAAAAGCAGCCTTCAAGAAGCTAGAAAAGGAAAGTCAGAGAGGTAGAAGCCAAGGGGAGAGAAAGCTTCATGAAAACGTAAGTAGTCAAGTCAGATAACAACAGACTGGAAGCAGTCGGTGGACATGTGGAATGGGAAAAATCCTGCAGAATTCATTGTTGTAACTGTGGGATGAGTAGATGCATTCAGTGGGGGTGGGTAGGGGGTATTACTACAACATTTAGCTTTTAATCAGAGCACAACACTTTAAACAAAATATTCCATAATTAAAACTCTTGTTCCTTACTGGCCCGTTTCAAGTAATATACCCATAGGATTTTAATCTGGAAGGGACCTTAGAAATCTTTTCGAACACCAAGTAGTACCATTCCTTACAACTTAAAAAAAACCAGTAAGCTTACGCACCCATACCTGCTATTCCAAGATGGACTTTCAGGGTTTCTCCACCTTTTCTGTCTTCTTCTAGAGATTCAGATTCACCAGCAATGGGTATAGACATTGAAGTAGAAGGAGGCCTGTAAACAAACATCTCTTAGGATCAGAACCTGATTTATTGGTGAGCCTGAAAGTTTGAAGTATTGTTAGAGATTGGTTGTGTAGTCAGTACACAGCTTTAGTAAGGTACATGATAACGTTACCCTTGGAGGGTGAAAGTAATAAAAATCAACAGATAATGTATGCGCTTCCTCAAAACTTGAATTTAATTAATGAAAAACAAATCTTTCTGCACAATAAATGTTGGACCAGAAAGGAGTCCCGAAAAGAGAGAAGGAATCTGTCTGTGTGTTCCTAGCACTCAACTCCCCAAACTAGGCAGGCAGGTATCTCTATGGTGGAGATGGAGGCACCAAGCCCCTTTTTATCTGGGGGTGTGCTGAGAATACCTCATGCCTCCTGCTTCAGTGCCTGAGATCTCTTGTTGGCTCCTCTTTCTTCTTGAATAGCATACATGGATTTATCTTCTACTCTGTGAAGCATGCACCTGGCCCAGGGAGAGTCTATAGAGGGCCCCAGTTGTTTAGATTAGTTTTTGGACTAGATTTTCTGGGAATAAGTGATGGATATATTTTCACTGCCAAATTCAAGGCTCCTGTGTCCATGTGGGAGCTGTGAAGTAGGAAGGGGCAAGTTTGAGTTCTAACAAGTTTGTTTTTCTTAACATAGGAATTTTTATTATAAAACATCCCCAAACTTTAAGGTTGCTATTTCAGAGGAAAACTATATCTTAGAGACTATCCCGTGATCTGAGATAAAATAGCAAGGAAGTTGAAGGGATGAAGAATCTGACTCACTTTGTGGCAATTCTTAAATTCTTTCTAGACTATCTCAACAGTACCGGCCAGCTACTCAGGTCCTTGCAAGCTAAAGACAGTTAAGATTGCCATTAAGCCTGTTTAATTTAGATTACTTCCAGCCCAGGATCTCCTAAATTCCAGACTTGTAAATCCTATTGTGACATTTTTAAGTATCTGACCTACAAGTATATAAAACATAATTTTTCCCAAACTAAACCCATATTCTTTCCCCAAACCTGTTTTTTTCTTGTAGTCCCTATCTCTGTGAATGCCACTGCAATCTTTAAAGGCACAAAAACTAGGATCCTAGATATTATCTGTGTCCTTCCTATTCACATTTCCCCATATCAGGTCAATTTCCAAATCCCACAGATTCTGTTAACATCTCTCCTATCTCTTCTCTACCTCCACCAACTACTTTAATTCTGGCCTTTATAACCCTTTTCCTGAATGACTGCAAGAGTGTTCTAGTGGGTCTCTCTACTTCTTTCCATGCTACAGTCACTGTGGCATTTCTGAAATGTGCATCTGATCATGTTACTCTCTGATTTGAAATCCTTCAGTAGCTCATTTAGGATAAAGCTCAAGCTCCTCAGAATGGCATAAAAGGCCTTCCATAGTCTGCCTTAGACCTACCTCCTCAACTACCAACAGCTAAACTTTTAAATAACATAAAACAGCTTGGTGGAAAAAAACAAAACAAAACTTGGCAGTAAATATTTCATGAGAAAAACCTCTATTTAAAAGAAATACACTTACAGAGAATGGACTCTACAGTCATATTTGTTACTCATTGATGGATGACTCATGCCTGTGTGTCTAAATTTTTATCCTTTTAGTACCAGATGTGGACTGACTGCAGTGTCTCCATCTCTCTACCTCTTTCACTGCTCTCCAACCCCTCAGAACTCCCAACCTTTGGCCTCTTTCCTTCTCCCTCTCAATCAGTCTCCCTCTGGCTCCACTCTCTTTCCTGTCCAGTATGACTCCACAGTCAACTTCACTTCTAGCAATACCCTCGATTTTCCACCCCTTGCCCTGTTATCTCAAAAAATCTGAAAAACCTCAACCCTTAATAATTTCAGCCACCGGCACTAACTGATTTAATACTGGGGCAACTAAGCATTACAGAAAAAATTCATCAACCACAGGGATTAATAAGACAGAAAACTTAGAATCTAAATCCTATCTAGGCCTTGGCAGCCCTCCTAAGTCCTCCTAGACAACTCAGTCATGCTGAATAAAGAATTACTGAGGGCCTATCACGTGCCTGTTTTTTATTCTATTAACCTTCTTGTTCTGAAAATCTTTATATATCCCTTATCAGAAATTGTCTAATACAGCTCAACTACAGAATGAAAGAGACGGGATTATTTTGTTTTAATACATAGTAATGTTAAGAATATGTGAACAATAATCTCCTAAAATGACAATACTACTTACTTGACATTCCATAAATATTCTGTGCTCTGTCACAATGCCATAAACTTGTGCAAGCCATTTTCTCTTCCTGGAATGTTCTACCTACCTCTGTGCTTGGTAAATTCCTATTCATTCTTTAATACTTAGCTCCGTGTCAGCCCCTCAATGAAGACTTACCTGACTTTCAAGGAAAAGTTGTTATAGTTCCCATTCTCTATACCCCAACAACATCATATGTTGTGTGTCCGTCTCCCACATAAACTGTGAATCCCTTCAGAGCAGGGGCTGGGTCTTATTTAGTGGTAGGCAATCAAAAACCCAGTTGCTTGTTGATTTGACTCTAAATGACTGACTCCTGGGACTGTGGTCAAATAAACTCCTTCACTTCTGAGCCTCAATGTCCTCACTTAAAAATATGGATACTACTTACATCCACACGGAGTTGTGTCAAGAATTAAATTGGAAGGCAGAAATATTCATGAAATTATTTTGACAAATGGTAATGTCCTCCCATCTGGAATCTGAATGCTTTGGTGCCTTGCTATTTGAGAGGGTTACGTCACCCTTACATCTGCTTTAACAGTTGCAACAATGGGCTCAAACATACCAACGACTGAGAGGATAGCGCCGGACCAGGGATGTTTCGTTCTGTTATACATAAGGTCACCATGAGTTGGAGCTCTCTCGATAGCAACTAACAACAACAGATCTGCTTTACCACCAAATTATCAAATTTCAGTATAGCATACAATTTCTGTCTCAAAATATCCTTCTTCTTCACCAGTATTAGTGCTTAGCTTTCTTATCAGAGCCATTTTCATTCCTTTGCAAGAGTTAGTGCGCACCTGACGAGCTGTAGAGAACTACAAAGCTCAGTGTAAGGCAGGTGGTTACGTTGAATTACCAGCTGTCCTCTTCATAAGTACGGGGCTTATAATAAGCATAAAATTCATATTTCAAAAAATGTATATACTGTATGTGACAGAACTTCTCATAAAATATCAAAATCAGAATTTAAATCTGAGAATGCTAAGGATTTGATATACTTTTGTTAGCTTCTCTAGTAAATTAAAAAAAAAAAATTTGTATCATGAAAAATCCAAAGACAGACAACAGCAGAGAGAACAGCAGACAAAATCCCTGAAGCAGCTGTTTACATCTATCCTACACAGAGGTATTCAGTCAAGTCACCTAACTGCTCTGTGCCTTAGTCTCCTTATCTGTCAAATGAGAACTCGGATTACACTAAGGCTTTTAAAACCGGCTTCATGAAGCTCCCTTAGGGACTCTGGGAGTAGGCAGGGGAGAGTATTCTGCCTCCTTACCCCTCAGCAGAGCAATTTTGCATAATGGGATTGAGAATACATTTGAGCAAAGGGTTTTATGGCTAAATATTTTGAAAAAAAAATCACTGAACAAGACAACTTACAATATTCTTTTTCGTTCTAAAAGAATGTGATTTTACACATTTGATTTCTGTTAAATATAATCTGATAAAATAATTCACTTTTTCATCGAGTTCAAACATTTTTCGATTCCACACACACTCATGTGCAAGTGAATGGATGTATGAGAGTTTCCCTTTTCCACTGACAGTCGCAGAATGCAAATATCCAAAGAAGAAACTGTTGCGGGTTTGATTCTCCTGAGAAATACTTTTGTGTGTTTTAGGATTAGGCATTCAGTTTATTCATATGAGTTACAGAAGTCCTTGTCTATAAATATGAACTGTAGATTGTTATGTTACACTTACGGAGATAATGTAGAAGAATATTAGATGATATATTCTGAAGCTCCTTGACCCTCAATATCTGAGTTTCACAAGTAGAGAGAAAAAATGGCAGAGAAAGGGCGAGAGGAGTATCCATAAATAAGTCCATGAGAAGGAATGACGGCTTCACTTTTTCTACAGGTTTTGCTTCTCATCTCGTTTTACCCTAAACTGATTCTACTAGAAATGCAAATTAAGTTTACCTGAGAGACCAAATATAGTACAGCAAAAATTGTTTGATCTCAAGAGAGGAGGAAATAAAGCAGCCAGGAAATTATGGTTTGTGGGAAGGCAGTACAGGAAGCCTAAGTGATAGAAAAATGCACAGTTTTAATCAATAATTGATTTGTATTAAAATACATATTTCATCTTTATAAACAGTATGTAAGTGGGGAATTATATGGACATTGCTTTCTAAGTTATGGCAAGAGCTATTAAAAGCATAAAATTGATGTACAGGGAAGTAATATTTCCTCTACTTTTCTAAATATATTTTATCTCAGATATTTAAGATCTAATGAACTTTCATTTTTAATTATTAAGTGTCTTCAAGATTATTGACAGGCAATCCTATTGCATTTACCCACTCAGTTCACTCTCCCACTCTCTCAGGAGGCTTTTGTACACCCTTTCCTCTCTCCTCAAACCTCCACCTCCATCCGCCCCATCTTCGTTCTTGAATGATGACCTTGGTTCCTATTTCACTAAGAAATCAGAAGCAATTAGAAGAGAACTTCCATATGCTCCCACTTCTTATACACCCAGCTATCTGCATCTGTAGCCATGTTCTCTGCCTTCATCATATTACAGTGGATAAACTGGGTACCAGATCCCTTCTCTTTTGACAATCCAAGGACACTCTTCTAGCAATTGTCTCTTTTCTCTTCTGCACCATCAATTTCTCCCTCTCTACTGGACCATTCTCATCAGTATACGAAATCTCCTACAGTGTCTCCCATCTTAAAAAACAACAACACACCTCCCTTGACCTCTAAAATGTGTGCATGTGCATGTATACACACAGACTATACTCTAAATCCCAAGCAATCATGAGACTGCTAGGACAAAGACTCGACTCTCCAATCTGACTGGGCTGCACACACAAAGGCACGTTACAAAGTGCTGGCAATCAAAAGCTGTCATTGTTATTTATAAAGGATAAACAGTAAGTAACAGAAATAGATTACTTATAGAAAGCAAACAGTAAACAACAGGAACAGATTTGATGTGAACTTGTCCCCTCCACTCGCACGAATACCCCACTTAACATCGTAGGAGAGGAACCCACTTACATTTAAAAGGGGACCTGCTCACCCTTCCCAGATTACCCATTTCTGTGTCACTGGGCGGGCGCACCATGGAACAGGTATCAGTAGGTCTCTCTCTCTCTCTTAACAGGCATCTCTCTAGTCAGCTTAGGTCAGATATGGCATGGCTGTGTTCATTTTCTCTCTGTGGCTTTTCCTGGCTGGGTCTGGCCCCGTCTTATTCATCTAGCTCTCAACCAGCAGCTTCAGGACAACCGTGGGCTAGTGCCAGTGTTAGGCAGGCATTACGACGGCTCTTGAGGCAAAACTTTTATGAACAACTCCTGTACAGTGTATGCCCAAGCCTCTGTGGGCAACCTCTCAGCCCTCTTAGGGCAGACCTCCTCTCAGCCCCCTCTGGACAGGACTCCTCTTGGCCTTAGTGTTACACCTCTCAGCACAGCCAGGAGTCTGCTGCTGCCAGAGGCAGGCCAGCTCGGCCTCCATGCTGTCACTTGCTCTGCTTGGGCGTCTGTCTGCACAGACCTGGACTGCAGCTGCTCCCCCTTTGCAAGGTGCCCAGCTCCGTTGGTGACCTCTTGCCCAGAGATGCCCAGCTCTGCTCTGTGGATTGACTCTGCCCACCATCGCCGTCTGATGTGTGGGCTGACTCACCCACTGTTGCCGTCCTGACTGCTCTCTCGGCCTCTCGCCACTGGCTCAGCTGCTGGGCCCCTTCTGGGCCTCTTCTGTGTTATCAGCTCAGTGTTACAGCCCTTGACTCGTATTACAACTCTTTTATTTGGGTCTAGGAGGTTTTCCATACAGGGAACCTTGGTCCAAAGGACACACTCCCCTCCAGGTTCTTGTTGGTCACGAGGTCCCCCCAGAATCTGTGAGACTGGCCAATTATACAGGAAAACTCTTCGTCAATTTCAAGGTGTGGCTTTCTTAGCAAGATCACAAACTGACCAATCTCTTACGTGGATCATAAACCAACCAATTCTACTGGGTGGCCTGCAAGCCTCTTAGGCAGACAGCACACCGACCAATCCCTGCAAGATGCTTAGGTGGACAGTGAATCAACCAATCCTTGCAAGCAGCTTAGGTGGATAACAAACCGGCCAATCCCTGCAAGCTACCTAGGCAGACAGCAAACAGACCAATCACTTGGCAGATTGTGGCCCAACCAATCATTGCGAGAGAATTGCAGACCTAGAGTCAGAAAGACCACATAAAAGAAACCAATTGCACCACAACCCTATATCGTCTTTTTATTTATGACCCCACTGTTCTGTTTCTTTTTGCAGCAAAATTCCTCCTAAGAATTGTTTACACTGTCCCCAGTTTTCCTCCTCCAGACTCTCTTTAACCCACTCTAATAAGGTTTCAGTCTAAGCGCATTCGATACTGCAAAATCTAAAGGTCAACTCTCAGTCCTCATCTTCCATGGCCTATTTCAGTAGTACCTGACAGAATCGATACTCCTTCCTTTATGAAACACTTTATCCACTTGGTTTTCAGGACAGAATTCTCCTTTGGTTCTGTCCCCTTATCTCACTGGTTGTTCCTTTGCTGGCTCTTTCCCATCTCCCAACTTCTTACACGATGAAGCATCTCACTTCAGTCTGCTGACCTCTCCTTTTCCCTATCTATACTCATTGCCTACGTCATTTCATCAAGTCTTATGGCTTTAATTACCATCTATATGATGATAAATTTCCAAATTTATATCTTCCGTACTCAGGACTTCTCTACTCAACTACTCAACTCCACAGTGATAAATCCAACTGTCAAATTGACATGTTCAGCTAGATGTTTAATAGAGACCTCAAACTTAACATGTCCAAAACCAAGCTCCCAACTTGTTCCTCTTGTAGACTTTCCCATCTCAATAAATGGAAATACCATTCTTCCAGTTACTCAGGCCAAAATCCTTCATATCATTCTGCACTCCGACCAGCCTGGTTCAAGGTACCATCATCTCTTTCTTGGATTATTGGAAGAGTCTCCTAACTTATCTCCCCATTTCTGCCCTTGTCCCCTTTATTGCTCCCACATACTATCTATTTCCTACCTAGCAGTAATATAATTTTATTCTTCTGCTCAAAACCCTTTAGTAGCTTTCTATCTCACTCAGAGTATAAGTGGAAATCCTTTATTGTAATAGTCTACAAGATTCTTTATCATCCAATCTCATCTCCTATCACCCTCCTCCTCATTCACTCTGCTCTAGACACACTGGTCTCCTTGGCAGCTACTTAAACATGCCAAGCACACTCCTCCCTCAGGACCTTTGTCCTTGTACCCTCTACCTTGAATGCTCTTCTCCCAGATATCTGCATGGCTTGCTTCCTACCTCCTTCAGGTCTCTGATCAAATGTCATCTTTACCACAGAGGCCTTTCCTGACTACTCTATATAAAACAGGAACACTTCCCCATGAGTGTGGCCCTTTTACCAACATGCTTCATTTTTCTCCTAAACACTAATTACCATTTTTCATATATATTTGTTCATTGGTCTGTTTTCCTCTTAAAATACCAGCTCCAAGATGGAAAGGACATAGTCTATTTTGTTCATTGCTATTTCTCTAGTGTCTAGAATAGGACCTAGCGCGTAGTGAGGCACTTAATAAAATATTTGTTGAAGAAATAAGTAAGTTCACAAATGCTAGACTAAAAATTTTAGTTTGTATAATTTCACCCAAAACCTGAAGATGACAAAAGATCTATAGCTTAAATAATTCAGGGAGTAAAAGTTTCATTTGGTAATACCCAAAACCAAACCTGCTGCTGTCGAGTTGATTCTGACTCATAGTGACCCTATAGGACAGAGCAGAATTGCCCCATAGGGTTTCCAAGGATTTGAACTGCTGACCTTCTGGTTAGCAGCTGAGCTCTTAACCACTGCACCACAGGGCTCCATTATCATTTGATAATAGGTAATAGTAACTTCTAGGAGGGTCAGGTCAGTCTGACTATCCCTTCCCTAGTATCACTGGTATTGGACTGTAAACACTATAAAATATTAATGTAAAAAACTTTGAACAAGGAAATCACTATTATATTTTCAGAGAAATAACCTGGGCATCCACTTACGTTTTAAAACATGGGTCACCAGACATCAGCTGCATACTGATCAAAACCTAAGTATAAGAAAAACAAATATCGTGATTAAAAAGAATCTCTTGAGAGAAGCCATGTTCTGCTAATCTCTGCATCCTCCACAGCACCTAGTCCAATACTTCTATTTAGAGAGTATTAAATGATTATTGAAATGGTTACATCCAATATTAAATTATTGCTTTGTACATAGTTTATAAATCATTTCTAACATTCAAAACCCTGTTTAGTGCAAAAAAATCAGAGTGGAAAAGACAGAAACAAAGAACAAGTTGTTCATCAGTAACAATCCTGTGGGAGTGTGGCTATGCTGATCTAGTTTGTCTGTCTTTACTCCCAGATTCCTGTGGTGCTTAAGTGTCTGGAAGTGTTTCCTTCCAGCTTGCCATTTTGATGCCTCAAGGGATGCCTGCTGGTTGCCTCCAATAGCAGAATGCTTCTGGTCTTTGCTCCAGTTATACAGCAGGGTTTAAAATTTTTCTATTTTTGCTATTCTCTAGTTGCTGGCTGCCTTTTAAGAATCAGCCATAGGATTATGTTCCTACAGGAATAATGATGATAATGGTACTAACGACGATGATAATGGTAATAACGACAACATTAACAACAATCATGATTTGAAAATTTATTGTGTGTCAGGCATGAGCTGAGTGTTTTATATGTATTACTTCATGTAATCTCCAATGACCCTATGAGACAGAGATACTTTCATGCTAAGCCCAGGGAGATTAAGTGATATTTTCAAGGATGGATAACTAGTAAAGGGCGGAGCTGGGATCTGAACCCAGGACTGCATAATACTAAAGCTCATGGTCTTAATGAATATCAGGATATTTATATTACTGTATGTTTTCCAGCTAATGGCTAACACATATTCTTATATAACCTCATTTCATTCTTATTTCTTTATTCCACTACATGTCTCCACTACTATCCTCTTTTTTAACTCTCAACTTATCAAATGACTTATACTTGTGCTGGTTTCTTCATCACCTCTTCTTTCACAGAACCCTACGATCTGGTTTCCAACTCCATCAAAATAGTACTCTTGAATGTCTTGAATGTCACAGGAAGGAAGTAGATATGGCACATAAAAGTTAAAAAAACATTTTGTAGTGAAGTAGAGCAGAGTGGGACAGTGGTTGCAGGGGATGAGAAGCTCTTTAAATATAGGAGATATCAAGTCTTTTTGTTTACATGTTGATAAGGATGGTTCATTAGAGGGAGAGATGATTAGGAGAGGGAATAATCCAAGAGGCAAAGGTCTTGATTAGGCAAGCTTTGGATTCTAGAACCCAAGAGGAAGGGCTGATTTCTCACAGGAAGAGGAACTTTATCCATTGTAACCAGAGGCAAAAAGGAGAATAAGGCTGAAGAGGCAGGTAGAATTGTAAATTCTATGATAGGGAATTTGAGTTTAATGGTTTCTGTTTTCCCAATAAAGGACAAGGCAAGATCATTAGCTGAGAGCGAGAGTAGTGTTTGAGAGATATGAGAAGAAAGAAAAGATGAAAAATATCTAGGAAATTGGGAAAGGAAGCTTACAAAGGAAGTAGAGTACCACTGCTGGATGGTGATGAGCATGACTTCAGTAATGCCAGGTAGTCTGGGTGCATGATATCCAGCAATGTTCAGTGACCCGGAGAAGACAGATGGTTGAGTTCAACTGGGATTGGGGTTTACTCAGGGGAGAGCAAGGGAGGGAGGCAGGGACAACGGATGAGGGAGTATTTTTTAAGGGCATTATAATCATAGATCATGGAATCTAAGCTGGACAAAGAGGGAAGTGAAGGCAAATGGGGACGACATGGAGAGTGGTAAGGTTAAACAGAGCTAAGTGATCAGTAGACCGTGAAGGCTGGAAGCATATGAGATAGTGGTAGGAGAGTGGATAGTAAAAGTAGTGGAGTTTCTAGTTTTTATTCATAATTTTTTTCCTTTCTTCTTATTAGATACTTTGTTATCATAGGGTAATGTAGCTAAAATACAGAAAAAGATTAATTCAGTGAGTTTTACTAGGTGCCAGGTACTTTACATTTTTTCATTTGGTCTCACTTAATACTCCCAACAACTCTATGAAGTATATATTATTATCTCTGTGATCACCATAATATGTGACTGCTGATGGCACTTGGTTACAAATCCGGCAGATGTCCAGGGGTGAGTTCTATCTGCCACTTCACTAGTTATAAAAGAGCCCAGTGACTTCTATGTATGACTTCTATATACCCACCCCCGTCACTCTGGACACCTTTTGGGGGTTATAAACATTTCAAGGTATTCATCAAGCTCCTTCCTCCCAATGAGCCCTTATGCTGAGTGGTTGTGTGTATTGTTCCCGTATGTTTTTAGTACCAAAGAAAAACACCTTAAGATCATGAAGGTGACATTTGTTACTTTTCACTGTGTCTGTGTTTTGAATAGGTTTTTCCTCCTAGGTAGTGAATATTCCAGTGGTGTGGTCATTTTATGATCTCAGTATTGATTCACTCTTGCCCTTGGCAGTATATGTAGTGGCGTCACTAGGGTTGGTGTCACTCAGTGCAGTAACTCATGGTGTCAGCCCTACCCCCTCCACGGACCTCCTCCCATACTAGATCATACAGAATCCTTAGTAATGTTTTTTGTATTAATGTTACTAATTTTAATCATAGAATAATATGGATAAAATAGTTATAAATTACTTAAATGTAATATTTCTTAGATTATACGAAAATTGTTTTGTAAAATCTTTCCACATTGAATTACAACATTATTAGTAACTGAACAGAAGTCTTTTTGATTTTTCTCCTTCTCTTCCTTTAATTACTACTTCATTCTCAAAAAAGTTATTGATATAGGTTCACAAATACTAATTACCACCATGTTATAGCTATAACACCAGAAAATTACACAAAATCAGTAACTATTATAAAAACACTGGCAGCAATGAAAACAACAGCACACGCTAGTAGCGCGTGCAGACGAAACCATGTGATCCGAGGCATTCCTGTCATTGGGTAATAATGACAGCTCTGAAGCACTAGAAGGTTCAAAAAGTAAATTAGCATAGAGTTTTAGCCTTGTAGGTATACTAATATATATAAGCTGGGCTTACGAAGAATGTTTTCATTGTTATAACTATTTACAGGGATATTTTTATAAGAAATAATAAATTTCTTCTGAAACACTGCACAAAAACTTTATAGATAGTCATTTTCGTGTCACCACTTCTGACAGTGTCACCCGGAATGGTCTGCACCCACCATTCCCTCCTAACGACGCCACTGAGTATATGCTTATACTTATTTAAAGGCAGAGTCTTGTGTGTTGACGTAAATCTTGAAATGTGCTTACTTTAAGAATGGAATTATCTTGTCTTGTATTTTTGGTATCATAGCCTTCCAGTAAACAGCGACGAGTGGTATTTCCTGATCCAGCAAACTCTGCCAGGTTTAGATCTGCAAAGCCCAGCTATGAAAAGAAAGAAAATTATATTAATATCTACTAGGCTTCTATCACAGTCTCTTTAAAATAAACATTCAACCCATGCCCTAGACCAGTCTTCTCAAACTTCAGTCATTTGTAGTTTCTGCCATTTAACTATTTGCTTAATAGTTGTCTTTAAATTGGCATACTTTTTATAGCAATTTATTACCTATTCTACTCTTAAGCTATAAACCAAAACCAAAAATAAACAAACAAAAAACCCACTGCCATCGAGCCGATTCCGACTCATAGTGACCCTATAGGACAAAGTAGAACTACCCCATAGGTTTTCCAAGGAGCAGCTGGTGGATTCGAACTGCTGACCTTTTGGTTAGCAGCTATAGCTCTAGGATCTTTAAAATTACAGATTTGATGTGCTAAATATATTTTTCTACACACATTAAAATATATATAACTGTTAAAATAAAAATAATATATATCAAACAACTAAAATTACTGCCAGTAGCAGTGGTACTCACACGACACTATGGGAAATACTAGCAGACCAATCAGATGATAATTTGCATACAAATATAAAACTCTCTTCTCCCTATTCTGGTTCCCACTCTTGCCAAGTTAACCACTGATGACTGAAGATAGCTGCAGGTTATAAAGTTGTTCACTCTCCACGTAAAAACTATAATGATTTAAGTGAATCAAATGCTTTCCTTGGAACAAGCCTCTTCTCTTGCCCCACGTTCCACAACACTTGCCTTGCTGATTACCTGAGCTGAATCTCTCTTTATTGAATCTACTTTCTCCCTTTCCCCTGTCTCTGCCCCACACTTACCCTCTATGCTGCTACCTAAAAGTTCAGCTTAAACCTGTTCCTTCCCCTTATTACTATTTGGCTTTTGTCCCCATCTTCCATAGCTACGAAACATTTCCTATGGTCTTTCCTCTGATGTTGGCTCAATCCTATTTCTTGTTTGCAAGTGGTACAACAAATCAACTCCATTAGATCATTATTTTTTGAACAAATTAAGTCTCCTCTACATAACTAGAGTGCTTTACTAACAGTGAAAAATGTATTGTGCTTGTAGTTAATTAAGCACTTCTCCTTGAGTACAATAACACAAAGTATCCTAAATTTCAAAGACTGCTGTGATTTTAAGTTGTCTGCTTTAAGGTTTTAAAACACACAGTGGGCACATGAAAATGGCATTTAGGATGAAGATTTTAATTGCAGTCTGGAGTATTATTTTAGTAGCGTTTAATAGGTTGAAAAGAATAAAGAATAAGAATTTATAGAGCCCAGTTGAAGGGTCACAAGGCCTATATACAAGGCACACATCAAGCCACAGGTAACATCTAATAATCTTCATTTGGTGACTCTGGTCTCATTGCCTTTTTTAGGGATGAGGTCCAGATTATTAGATAAAGCCTGGATGTGTCTAGGGCAAAACCACATCCAACTGAGCATGTGAGACTTACACTGACTATTAGATCACACATTATCAACAGTCTATTTAATATCTTCTCTCTGTGAATCTCCAACACTTCCTTTCCTATCCTCACTCTCTGCTGATGACCTTGCTTCCTTTCACTCAGAAAATAAGAACAATCAAAACAGCACTTCCACAAGCTCTTGTCACCATATCCACTCACTTACTTGCATCTGTGCCCATATATTTGCCCTCCCACTTACAGTACTACAGATGAACTGGCTGTGCTCCTACCTGAGGCTACCTGCTCTCCTCTAGCCTACTCCAGTTCATTGTATCAGCTGTTCTTCCCTCTGTTTTGCATTCTAAAATTTTCCCTCTACTGCATCATTCCCATCAGCACACAAACATGCTGGATTTTCTCCCATCTGAATGGACAAAAGAAACCAAAACCAAAACCTCTCTGTTACGGACGGAATTCTGTAACCCCCATCCCCCCCGCCCCCAAAATAGCTGTTATAACTCCTAACCCCTATACCTGTGGTGTTATATACCTGTTATCCCATTTGGGAATGGGTTTTCTTTGTTATGTTAATGAGGTAGTATTAGTGTAGGGTGTGTCTTAAATCAATCTCTTTTGAGATATAAAAGCGTAGAGTTGGGGGAAAACATGCCATGCCACATGAAGATCACCAAGGAGCCAAGGAACAGAAGCTGAAAAGGACCTTCTCTCAGAGCTGACAGAGAGAGAAGGCCTTCTCCCACAGCCAGTGCCCTAAATTTGGACTTCTAGCCTCCTAAGCTGTGAGAAAATAAATTTGTTAAAGCCACCCACTTGTGATACCTAAGACACTCTCTTACCCCACAACCCCTTCCAGCTACTGGACATTTTTCTGCTCCTCTTTACAGTCAAACTCCTTGAAATAGTTGTCTGTGCTGACTGTCTCCAATCCCTCTGTCTCTGGCTACCCTGCCCACTTAATTTCCCTCCGCTCTCCTCTTCCCTCACTCTGCTAGCCACAATGCCCTGTTCCTTGAAAATGCCAAGATGACCTCAAGGCCTTTAACACTTACTGTTCTGTCTGAGACATTCTCTCTTAGATCTTGTAGCTTTCTCTCTCACTCCATTCAGGTCTTGAAATGTCATCTTTTTAAAGGAGCTTTCTCAGACCATCCGAAGATATGCCCTGCGCCTCTCTCCTCTCCCCTAAAGTTGTCACCCTCTAACCCCCTACCTGATTTATTTTTTCTCCTTAGTAGTTATTATCACATCACATACATACATATTTATTCCGCCTATTTTCTGATGCCCCCTCCTCCTGTTAGAATGTAACCTCCACAAAGGCGGGCATTTTTTGTCTGTTTTGTTCCCTGCTGTATCTCCAGCACTTAGAATTGTGACAGGAACAATACATATTTGCTAAATAAAAAGCAGCCACTGGCTCACCAGCCACTGTTGAAATTCCTAGGTTACAGTGTCACTAAGCATAATACCAGAGGAAAAAAAAGTATTTGGTTAGTCCCTGCTAAGAAAGCGTATTAAAAGGTGGTGTATTTCAATGTGATGTTTTAGGCTAAAGGTTAACCAATGATGGCATTCAACATTTATCAAGCATCTTTTACGTACCAGGCTCTGTTCTAGACACTGGAAGTAGATGTGAACGGGATAGGTAAGGATTCTACCTCCAGAGAGCTTACATTCTAGAAAGGTATCAGAGTGTCTGTATTTCCTTATGATTTGTCCTTTGGCTTCTGTGAGATAACTGTCTTACAAAAATGGCACATATACATAAATACTAGACACATCTGCGGTTGATGTCACTTCATTCAGAACATAATTCTGAGCATCTACATTCTAGGTAATGTGAGGCACTGGAAACATAGAAATGAAATAAACCATTCCTACTCTCAAGGAGCTCACAGTTTAAGAAGGGAATATAGAAAACAAATTCCTATAATACAGTGCGCTAAGAACTATGATAGTGGAAGGCACAATTACAAGAAAGAGAGGAAAAGAAAATTTCTGAGTGGAGAGGGATGACTCAGCTGAGTCTTTAATGACATGTGAGTTGACAGGCCAAGGGAGGGAGAAGCACATGCACGGCAGAGAGAACGTCAAGTCACAAGGCAAAGAGGCTACAATAACACCAGATGCTTTAGGAGGCTTATGGGGGCAGTATGTCTGAAGCGTAAGGACAAGAGTGTGAGTGTGTGTGTGTGTGTGTGTGTGTGTGTGTGTGTGTGTGTGTACAGAATTAGGTGGAAGAGATGAGGTACAACAGATGATATGCAAATCAAGATGGGTCTTATACACTAGGTTAAGAAATGTTCATTTTCTTTTACAGGCATGGATAGCTGCTGAAGGACTAAAGTAGGGGAATATGATGCTTTAACTTCAGAAAGATCAGTCTGCCAATAATATGGAGGATGGGCTGGAGGTAGACAACAAAAGAGGCAGGGAGACTCGATAGGAGGCCAATGCAGGTTTTAAATAAATAATGATGGCATAACGTAAGGTAGTGTGGCCTTGGGAAGGGAGAGGAGGGATGATATCAAGAGCTTTTTAGAAGGGAAAAATCAAGAGCATTTGTTGATCATAGCAGATCTTGTTGGATGCCTACCCAATATTCAATACCCTGTTATTCCTTGCTGGCAGAGCCTTGATTTTATTCACATGTTGAGTCGAAACCAGTACAATCCAGTTCTAATCTATCCTGTTTTACTTCTGTTCCAATTTTGACACCGACTGCGCAAGCAGTACTTTTTCCCTAACTACCCAGAATGAGGTCAGACCTCATAAGGTAATGGACACAGTCCTCTGGACTGCCAAGTCTGCCCAAGACCCCAGACACCAGCTGCAAGCTTCCGAGTCCATATGACACCCTCACTTTTGACCTGCTGGCTACAAATCAGGGGTTTTCCATTATCCCCTTAGCATACCAGCTGTCTCAGGGCTCTCTCATTTCTGACCTGCTAGCTCCAAATCTGGGGGCTTCTTCTACCCCCTCAGGATACCAGGGCCCCCTCACTTCTGATCTGCTGGCTCTCACTACTACCTCTGGTTTGATAGTTTACTAGAACGACTCAGAACTCAGGAAAGCGCTGTACTTAAGATTATAATTTTCTTATAGCAAAAAGGATACAAATGAGGAGACACGTAAGGGTGAGGGCTGGGAGGGTTCCCAACATGAAACTTCCGTGTTCCAAAGCACGTGCTACCCTCCCAAGCACTGATGTCTTTCACCAACCAGGAACCCCATGGAGCTTCTGTGCCCAGAGAGCCTTTACTGGGGCCTCATTACATAGGCATAATTGATTGAATCATGCCCCTCTCCTTCCCCTGAAGGAGCTGATATCACAAGGTGGGTCTTTTTGGCATGGTTAGCCCCCACCTGAGTTACCCTCATTAGCATAACCTGTCAGGTAGAGGTGTGGACTGGAGCCCTTATAGATAACAAAGACACTTTAACTGTTGGGGAAATCTAAGGTTTTAGAGGTCATCTCTCAGGAACCAAGGACAGAGACCAAATTTTTTTGAGTAAAGTTAATTGTAAACCCAACAGGTGTCCACTCAGCTCAACTCACCTATGTGCACAACGAAGCTGACCCAATCCCTACTTTAAGGTTAAATAGTGATTATTGTTGTTGTTGTTAGGTGCCGTCAAGTTGGTTCCAAATCATAGCAACCCTACGTACAACAGAACAAAACACTGCCTGGTCCTGCCTGGTGATTAGTGTAAGCTAACCATGGCAATCCATTCCTATTGTCCATGACTGGTTTGGGGTGGGCATATGATCCAGTTCTGGTCAAAGAGAGGTACAGGGAAATCCTCTGAGCGCCATCTAGCAAAAGTTTTCTCACTCAAAAAAATAGTCATACAGGGGAGGCTGCCGGAGTTCATCATATGTGAGTGTGTTGACTAAAACTTGAGCAACTAGTTACTTGATGTATTAGTTATCTAGTGCTGCTATAACAGAAATACCACAAGTGGTTGGCTGTAACAAAGAGAATTTATTCTCTCACGGTCTAGTAGGCTACAAGTCCAAATTCAGGGCGCCAGCACCAGGGGAAGGCTTTCTCTCTCTGTTGGCTCTGGAGGAAGGTCCTTCTCATGAATCTTCCCTGGTCACGGAGCTTCTCAGCACAGGGACCCCAGGTCCAAAGGACACGCTATGCTCCTGGTGCTACTTTCTTGGTGGTGTGAGGTCCCCCTGTTTCTCTGCTCCTTTCTCTCTTTTATATCCCGAAAGAGACTGGCCTTAGACAAAATCTAATCTTGTAGACTGAGTCTTGCCTCATTAACATAACTGCCACTAATCCCACCTCATTAACATCATAGTGGTAGGATTTACAATCCACAGGAAAATTACATCCGATGACAAAATGGCGGACAATCACACAATACTGGAAATCATGGCCTAGCCAAGTTAACACACATTTTTGGGGGACACAATTCAATCCATAACACTTGGTGACTACGAGGGGAGCTAACCAAGGACGAAGTAAACACATAAAGAATGGCAGAATGGAAAGAGAAAAGGAATATAGGTTCCTGATGATTTTGTTAAATCAGTGGATTAGCCAATCCCAGGGTAGCTCTATTTCGTATCTATCTGTTTTATGATATTAAAAAAACTCCAGATAAGGAATTTTCTGTTACTTATAGCAAAGAGCATCCTAACTGATATTGCAACCAACTGCATTTAGGGAATTAGTTAGATTTAGTGGTTAGAACTAATGCCCAGGTCCCTGGCTCAGATAAATGGGGGGATGACAATACCATTCACAGAGACTGAGAAAAAATGAGTGTGTGAGTTCTGGTAGTATTCTAATTACTAATTCTTTCCATTCAGCAAAAAAGGTGCGCACATTCACTACTAATGCCATATACAGGACAGCGCAGAACTGCTCCATCGGGTTTCCAAGGAGCGGATGGTGGATTCGAATTGCCGACCTTTTGGTTATCAGCCATAGCTCTTAACCACTGCGCCACCAGGGCTCCTCCATATAGCAAGTAACTGTAGTAAAGAGTCCTAGTGGTGCAGTGGTTAAGCACTCAGCTGCTAACCAAAAGAAGGGTTGGCAGTTCGAATCCACCAGTGGCTCCACAAGAGAAAAGACCTGGTGATCTGCTCCCATAAAGATCAGGGAGACCTGGGTTCAATTCCTGGCCAATGCACCTCATGTGCTGTCTGTCAGTTGTGATTTGTGTGTTGCTATGATGCTAAACAGGTTTTAGCAGAGCTTCCAGACTAAGACAGACTAGGAAGAAAGGTCTGGTGATCTACTTCCAAAAATCAGCCAATGAAAACCATATGAATCACAATCTTCTGATGGCCCACGACCAGGCAGTGTTTTGTTCAGTTGTGCATGGGGTCACCGTGAGTAGGGGGCTGACTCTACAGTAGCTAACAACAACATGGCTTCATGCAAGTCAGAGCTCACCTTTCAGTAGGGAAGCTAAAACTTAATAATAACATCCCATAATCAGCATTTAGAAAGAATATGCCTATAATTTATTATTGGATCCAAGTTGCTTTATTTAAAAATAGCCAAGCATGAAAAGCAAGCAGAATAGTGAACCATTTAATTTTTAAACCTATAAATGGCAATGGACAACAAATATTATACACTCCAAAAGAGTTAAACAACATCTACTTACCTTTGCATAGGCTTTTCCACCTTTTAGTTCCTGTCAAAGATAGAAAACACTATAAGGATATCATATGATTAAAGATTTAATATTAAATATATGCAAATAATTCTGAAGTATAGATATTTACATGCTAGCACATACCATACACAGAAAAATTCTGATGATCTTAAACCCAATTATCTGGAGCCCCATGTCTCCCAAAATGACCATAATTTTTATTTAGCATTTAACTTTAATCTGAAAGAGACAAATGGTGAGAATAAAAGCTAATACTTAATCTATCTGCTGAAGAAAAGAGTTTCCAAAAAGTGTCCTGGCTCATTGCAAGAACCTGAATCACCAGGCAGGAGGTCTAAGGGTTATCCTCAACTCTCTTCTTCCCTCATTCCCCATCTCCAATCCATCAGTGGGGTCTACATCCAAAATATATCCTCAATCTTACCATCTGTGCTGTTAAAACTCTATGCCAAGACTTAAGAATTTCTCACCTGAACTATTGCAACCACATAAGTGGTCTCTCTGCAATTTATTTTCCACATTTTAGACGTCTATTTTCATTAAAGGCTTAAAACATGTAAAAAATCATTTTATGTATATATGTATTTATGTTATATTTTAACTGAGTAGATTAATATAAGAGAATTAAAAATACAGCCACATATCCCTTCCTCCTTAGTGCAATCGGTTCATTCAAAAGGCAGAATAAGAAAGCTAAAAATATAATTTTTTATCTGGTATGGATGAATACAGAAGGGTACATGACTGGAATGGAAAACAGCAGGGCAAGAGACTCTTGATTCTCATTCTAAATCCTTCTATATTTAATTTTTAACCATGTACAGTATTACTTTGATAATTTTAAAAAATGTATTTAAAATGTAAAATATAAAATTTATATTTTAAAGCCAGTAATTTAATTCATCAGTAGTGGTGACTGACTAATTCTTCTATACTCATAAACGCTAAGATCACACACTTACATACGTGTTAGGTTGAACCATATGAAAGTGCTGTTTTTGTACATTACTGGCAGTCTGCCTCAATCTGATATGTAGAAAGGAAATATCTACAGAAGAATATGGCCTTAAAATCAGAAATATTTGGATTTGAGTCCCTGCTTTGCCATGTATTAGCTGTGTGAATTTGGGCAAGTAACTAATTCTCGGTTTTCCTGGAAATGAAGAAAATGACACCTGATTTCAGGGTTGTTGTTGTTAGAAGTAATATATGTAAAGTCCCAACACAATGCCTAACAAAGAACAAGAATTCAATGACTGGCAGAATACAGACATATATAGCCAGCCCCCAGACTAACACAAATAAGGTTAATACTTATATGTATAGTCACAGTGAGATGAAGGTTCTTAAATAATGTTTTAATTATAACTTCAAATTCTTCATATTTACCACAGTAATTTAAACTATTGCTGCAAGTGTGAAGTGAAATTACATATATTAACAGTTTTGATGAAAAAGATAAAGCAGAGCTAAATAAAGCAAGTCAGTGACTATGGAACTAATTATATGATTTCTGAAAAGGAAGAAGTAATAGGCTATTTTTATACCTTCCTCACAGACACTCTGTAGATACAAGGATCTAGGATGCCCGTGGCAGCACTTGCACTCATTTTGCACATAAATGAGAACTTCTTTCTCCAGTGAACACAGTTTGCCTGCACCACCTCCCTGAAGGAAAAAAGAAAGAAGCAGTTAATAACTATTACTGAAAGCACACTCACACTTTCACTCCAATCTATAATGCAGAAGTGATTTATTAAAACCAGTATTTGGAAACAGTGAAACAGGAAGAAAACAAACTCCTAACAATGTGATTAGAAAATCTTTGGAAGGTGCTAATTATTCATAGGAAACTGGGGGAGGGGAAAGGGAATTTACTTATCAATTCAATCAATATAAATTGAGGCTTCACTATTCATTCAACAAACAATACACATTTATTTTATGTGTGCTGCGTATGTGCTAGGTGTTTAAAACACAAAGATGAGAGGGATAGAGTTCCTAACCTTATAGGGCTTACATTTTATAGTTAGTGCAAGAGACAGAAAAATAAACAACTACTTATTCTAAAATGAATTATTATCACAGTTTTATTCCAACTATAACAGCAACAGAAGCTACCATTTATTAAGAGCTTACCACATGCTATTTAATCTCACAACAACCCTACAAGGTAGGTGGTGGTATTTTTACTTTGGAGATGAGAAAAATGTAGCATAAGGAAAGAAGTTACCTCAAGGTAGGAAGCTGCAGAACTGGCTTTAAGCCAGGTCCTTTACTGTAAAGCCCATTTGTCCACAAAGGAAAATCTATACTCTTCCAACTACTCTCCTCTTTCGAGGTTCCAGGCCTTTGCACATGTTTTTCCCTCTACTTTTCTGTGTAAATACAGGGGGGTTAGCCTTAGAAAGGAGAATAATTATTCCTCTAACATAGGAAGAAAGAAAAAGACAACAGGTGACAATAAAGAGAAAACTGGAGAAAGGAAAAGTGAAAGGCAAGAGAGTTCAGGTTGAATAATTTTGATTTTTTTGCAAAGTAATAAGTGAGGTCACTTTTGTAGAGTGAAAAGAGTTGGTGAGTGACTTGAAAATTTAGATAAAGGCTTGAGGACAGTTAGGAATAAATGCTGTGGTAAACGTGTTAAGAAGTCAACCTGTAGCTGTACTAGTGAATAACATGAATTTGTATTAGGGCCAATCAGTTTGGTTTTATGGCTTTCTGCAAAAATATCCAGAAGTCCAAGAATAGGAATCACAAAAGCAAATGCAATTTAAAAACCAAGTATGTATTTGTGTGGCGTGTGCATTTATTTTGTTGTTAGGTGCCGCCGAGTCAGTTCCAACTCATAGCGACCCTATGTACAACGAACAAAACACTGCCTGGTCCTGCCCCAGCCTCACAATTGTTGTTATGCTTGGGCCCATTGTTGCAACTGTGTCGATCCATCTTGTTGAGGGCTTTTTTTTCGCTGACTCTCCACTCTGCCAAGCATGATGTCTTTCTCCAGGGTAAGAGAAGAGAGCATATATTTTATCACAGGTTTAACTATGATAACTTTGGCCGTTTTATTTTGTTTCATTAAGGACCCTGACATGATTTAATCAATTACGATACAAAGAGTATGTGTATGTATTCTTAGGGGAGCTTCCCTTGCAATCCACCGGGGGTGTAATTTATTAGTTTGATCACAACGCAGGCAGAATGAAAGTTCCGTGGTAAAGGATGGATCTGGAGGTACTTATCAGACAACTTTAGGCATCCCCAGTCAGAGGAGCAGTAGTGAACCTGTACACTCAAAAATAAGTGAATTAAAATAAAAATCAACAAATAATAATGAAAATAACAAGCATGAAAAAAATATAAAACCAGAATTTCTTATTGTTGCTTCCTTCCCAACATTTCTTAGGCTTCAAGAGTTGCTGGAGGAAGTATGTATGCTGAGTTTCAGGGCACTTGGTTATCCCTGTCATTGAGGTCATATCTGATTTATGATCAGGAATCAAGAAACAAGCACAAAAAATTTTTAAACTGTCATTTTGTTTTTCTTATAAAATTATGTAAAAACTTCTAGTTAAAGATGGCAAGTTGAATACATGTATTAGCCTCTGCTCCCTCCCAAAAACTTAATAAAAAAATTTAAAGGTATTACCCACAAGGGAAAAAAGAGAACCAGCGAGATAACAAAAATCAGTGGCCAGGAAAGGACAAGGGATAGCTGATTTAGTAAACCTAAGAAAGCTGGACCCTAAGCTGTCAATGGTGAAAGCCAAGAGCAGGAATCTTAAATTGGACTTGAAGTAGAATGAAGGAGGGACAAAAGGCAAAAGAGTTGGTTCAAAACTGTCTTAGAAACAGATCCTCAGACCCTTTCCCTGACTCTAGCAGAAGACTGAGCTTTATTGTCCTGACAAGGTAAAACACATCTTTGGACTGCCTGATCTGAAGGCAGCTTTTAGAAATGGCTTGATGGCATGATGGGGTGGGGAGATGAAAGATGACTTACTGAATGCTGAGACTTCCAGTCTTCTTCCCCCAAACTGGTTCCTTAGAATGCTGAGCCAGGAATATATTTGTCAAGAAGATGTAGTAGAGTATTCTCTAGGAAATCCAACCAGCCCCAAAGAAAAGATATAATAATACAGACGTCGAGAGTTCCCAAGAAAATAGCCCAGCCAGCCCAACCTACAGTAAAATCCTGACTTGACAAGCACCCTTCACATGCACAAAGCTTCTAATCAACTTTTAGTGCTTCACAGTTAAATCTGAGCAGACACTTGAGGAAAGCCTCTTAATATGAAAGATAGAGGCCAAAACAAATAGGAAAAAAAGCAACTTAGTGGAAACAAGACTATATATATGTTGGAAGAAGAAAAACAAATCTTTAGAGAGATAAAAAAAAGATATTGCATCCACCATACAGGAATAGGATGCTATAAAAAAAGAACACACAGAGAACTAAAAAGTACTCGTCGAAATCAAACTAATGGGCTTGATATTCTGTCTGTCATTCCAGATCCACTCTACCCCTCTCCCGGGCCTATGAGGCTGATCTTTTTGAACTACATAAACTGAGCTCCCTTGCTTTCTGCTTCGGAATGTGCTAAACGGACAAGCACAGGATGGATACTGGAGGACAAAAGGAGAGAGAAATTGGTGTATTTCTTTTCCTGGCATCTTCCCAGTCAGGCCATAGGGGAGATGGGTTGGGAGGGCTGCAGTTTTCCATAATTTGCCTTGTAAAACCATTAGACTCTAAACTATGTACATTTATAACTTTGTTAAAAATAAAAACCAAATTAACAAATTAAAAAGCACTGTCAAGAATTAAGGAGTCCCTGGGTGGTGGAAAAGGTTAAGCACCAGGCTACTAACTGAAAGGTGGGCAGTTCGAATCTACCCAGAGGCACCTTGAAAGAAACACCTGGCAATCTACTTATGAAAAATCATCCATTGAAAACCCTATGGAGCACAGCTCTACTCTGACACACACGGGGTCAACATGAGCCAGAACTGGTTTTTTGGTCAAGAGCTAATAATTTGAAAATGGGAACAAAAGTATGTAATATTGCATGCCATTTTATTCTAGTTGCTTTATTAAAAAAAATTTAAAAAACCAAAGAATCTTCTTTACTGGTTGATATATGAAAATTGAATAGCAGAATTCATCTTACAATGTTATTCAGCCAATTATTCCAGGAATTATATAAGTATAAAAATCCCTTAATTAATACTCATGCAAAGCCCAAAAACCTTCTTCATGTTGTCACTTTCCATTTGTTTGTGAAATAACATTAATTCCTCTGCAATACTCATTAGAGAAATACATCTTAGATTTATATCTAGCTTAAACTGCCCTTATAACATAGCAGCCTTTACATACCAAAGAGTATATGCTATCCTTTGCACAAATGGAGGGCAGCTTTGGCCAGAGAAACAAAAATAAATCAAGTGAACAACGTATGTGGGTATTTCCCTTAAAAAACAAATGAACAGGAAAGGAGTATTTGCACAAATATTTATCTAGTTTGGCTAGAGAGCGGAGGAGGCCAACACTAAGTATGCCAGGTTTGGGAAGAAATAGGAGATTAAAGGCAGATAATTGAAATTATACTGTAGAATAAAGGTGAAGAATAGCAGTTTTCATAAAGGACATGACATTAAATCTTCAGGGAGAAAAACATCCTTCCAAAACCCTATGTTTCCATGTACTTACTACCTCTCTCTTTCCCTTCAGGTCCAAGCTCCTAGATGATGCTACTAATTGTTATGGATTGAATTGTGTCCCCTATACATATTGAAATCCTGGCTCCTATACCTATAATGAAGCCCTGGTGGTGCAGTGGTTAAGAGCTCAGCTGGTAACCAAAAGGTCAGCAGTTCAAATCCACCAGCCACTCCTTGGAACCCTAGGGGGCCGTTCTACTCTGTCCTATAGGATCGCTATGAGTTGGAATCGACTTGATTTTTGTTTTTAAATACCTGTAATACGATCCTATTTGGAAATAGGGTTTTCTTTGTTATGTTAATTAGGCCACACTCCAGCAGGGTGGGTTCTAAATCTGAGTTATAAACAGACCAGAACGGACACAGAGACACACGCGTAGGGACAGACAGAGGACATGTGAGGATGGTATCCAAGCAAAGGAACGCCAAGGATTGCTGGCAGAAACCAGAACCAGGAGAGAGGCTCACAGAACGAATCAATAGGGCGGAGAGACTGATTTGGAATTTTAGCCTCCAGAACTGTGAAAAAATAAATTTCTGTTCTTTAAAGCCACTCACTTGTGGTATCTCTGTTATGGCAGCACTAGATAATGAAGACGCTAATGATGATGGTAACAAAGATGACAATATCTCCTGAATATTTATTATACGCCAGGCATTGTTATAAATACTTTACACGTAATAACTCATTGAATCCTCAAAAACAACCTTATGAGGAAGGTACTCTTAGCTCTATTTTATAGATAAAAGAGCTAGGATACAGAGAAATTAAGTGATTTGTCCAAAGTCACACAGCTAGAAAGGGTTGGAGCTGGAATCTGAAGAACCTTCTACAGTGTAGACAGTTTCCATTTCCTCACCTTCCATCTACTTTCAAACCCCCCTCCGCCCAAAATCAGGCTTCTACTTCCCATCCCTCCACTAAACGGCTCACCTAATTG